ATTTTCTTATTTAACATAAATTTGTGAAACAAAAGTACTACTTAAAAAAAGGCAGTTTGTGTGTATGTTCGCTTTGTGTCAAATGTACCAAACTCCGTTAAGCGGGAAGAAGCAGGCAAAGCAAAGATGCGAAAATGTGTGCGCTCCGTTCATTTGTTTTGTTGTTAGTGTATTCGATAAATCCAGTAAGCACGAATAATCAAGCAAACCTAAAATAAAAAAATTTCTGATTTCTCTATATGGAGATTTTTGGTTTTGTTGATCACAATTTTTTTGTATTTCCCGCTACCAGCAACCGAGCTGCAAAAGAACACTCGCTTAAACGATGAAATACACGCAATATCCAAGTTCTGCCAGGTGGGTTAAGAAATACGACCTGAAGGGTATTGTTGTGAAGTGAAGAAACTGCTCTATTGTGAATTGTTAATGAGAAAGTGGAGAGGGAAATTTTTGTTTCCTTATATACGTAACTTATATTTTAAATAAGTATAAATATTACGCAAATACCTCGCATAATTACTCGTTTAAATTGGTTTTTGTATCTAAATCTCGTCAAACTAATCCCATGTTTCTTGCCTACCTTGTTGGTAGGGCTGCTTAAGTAGCTAAAAGGAATTTTTAACCAAGTAGAGCGTTTTTTTGTCGCTCGCTTACAAAAAAATTCAGCTAATAATAAATAGTAATAATCTCGCGAACGGCTGTACCGTTTTTTTTGGCAATTTTGGACTTATGCTACACACACTGTAGCATATAAGTCACATATAAGTCACTCATCATGCTTGTGCTGGTGCATGGCGCGGAGGCATGGACAATGAAAACATCTGATGAAGCGGATCTTGGAGTTTTCGAGAGAAAGATTCTGCGACCGATTTACGGACCTTTACGCGTTGGCGATGGCGAATAGCGCAGACGATTTGACGATGAGCTGTATGAGCTTTACAACGATATGACATAGCAGCGAATTAAAATTCAGCGGCTCCGCTGGCTTGGCTATGTCGTTCGAATGGACAGAAACGCTCCTGCTCTGAAAGTATTCAACGCAGGCAGCGATGCTGGTAACAGAGGAAGAGAAAGACCTCCTCTTCGTTGGAAAAACCAAGTGAAGTAATTGGGAGACACATGGGATCGAAGTCAAATTACCATTTTTGAATCAACCACTAAACAGAATAAAGAAAGTTCTTGATGAATGCCTACAAATACAATTGTAAGATATTTAAGGAATTTAGTCTGAAATAAGTCTATGTATATTGGATTTTTATGGACCAATGATACTCCCCCATTTTGAAATTGCCACAAACTACTATACATGTTCAAGGACTATTCACCATCGGACCAGAAAATTGTTGCCACAAAAAATTCTTCACGGACATAATGCTTTCATTAGGTTATTTAAGACGGCAATAGCGGATATGCCTTCCGACGACCACAAAACCAAACGTTAACGTCAATTGATGGTGAAAACGTTGGACCAAATGTTTCAATAAAAAAACAATTTTGGGCGGGATGAAGTTCGCCCGGTCTGCTAGTTTCTAATAATAGTTGCGATCCCGTACGAGTCCGGACTAGTCAGAAATAGTCAGAATCAGTCAGATTTTACTGGAAATCGATCCCGTACTCGGTTCTCTGACTATTGAGAGGACAAAAAAGAGAGTAAATACGGTTCTCTCTCTGTCAGAAGTTACCAGTTTTAGTCCGAGAATTTTTTGCTGGTAAATTCTGGTAAATGTGTCAAACGATCAGCTGTAGTGTGTTTGGCAACCAAATTGTAAACAAAAGAAAAGTGCACTCTGCTAATTCATGTTGAAAAGTATTTAATTACTTGTTTAAGTGGATTCTAATGAATTTGAAAGTATTTTTGGTTATTTACATGTGTGAGCTGAGTGTGTTTACATACAAAATAAGCAAAATTTTACAACCAAAATTTAGAGGTTATGTTGAAGTTGACAGAAGTTACCATTTTTTACTAGAAAGCGATCCCGTACTTTTCAATGTTACTCTCTTGCTCTGAGCGAATTTTTAATTTTTGACAGTTTTACTAGTCCGAGTCCGAGGAATACGGGATTGCACCTAATGGCAGTAACTTTATTTCTGACAGATTTGTACTGTGTCCAAGCAAAGTCAGTTCTGGTTCTCCTCCATTTACTATAAAGCTTATTACGTGCTTTTATAGCTGAGCTAACTCTTTTATTTTACCAAGGGCAAGCGCTATTTATGGCCCGAACAGTACGAAGCGGGACATGGTCATCGAATAATTTTGTCAGATTTTCATTTAAGAAGCCAAGTTTTGCATCTACACTCTCAATGAACCAACAGTTATTCCAGTTAACATTCGACATGCAGATTACTAACTTTAACAGACTTAAAATCGCGATAAATAAAAGTATCAGCAGGACTGTTAAACAACACATCTAATGCACAAAATAAGGCAAATCAAGGCAATAACAAGGTTGTTGGTAATAATCTCTTAACCACAGCAAGATTTGCAGCAGATAAACAACAAAAACAAAGATAACTCAACATAAAACGAATCTAGCATGCAACACCAATTAAAATTATATACAGAGGACACTAGCATTTTTATGACATTATCTGAGAGTTCCGCAAAGATGAATTTCGTATCAGAATCATTTGGCACAGTTAGAGGTTTAATTTTTAGGGTCGATCTGCAATAAATTGCAACATCCCCTCCTTTTTTGGTTGATTTGTCGTGGCGTATAATATTCATGTGTGGGGTACCATAATAAACGTCAGTAACGTTTGGATTAAACCACGTTTCTGAAACACAGATGACATCAACCCCCGATTTTCCAAAAATATGTCTAACATAGTCCCATTTACCACCATTAAGACTTCGAGCATTAAAATGCACTACGTTAAAGCCATTTGACTGTTGGCATAAAATATCTAGTAAAATTTTGTGGTTATCAATAGTGCTGGAGGCTGATTTCCTAGTGGGATTTAAATGGAACACACTGAGACAGAAAAGGATTAACTACAAATTGCAGCAAGCCCAAGAAATATACAACACAGCAAGAGCACAAGTGATTGCAATTAAGTACAGTAAACAAAACAGCAGGGTAATTTATGAACAGTTGAGAAAGGCAAACAAGCAACAAAAATAATCTGAGATATATAACCAAAAAAGTAACAGGCTAACCTAATATTCGCGGCTTGTGTTTTGGTACGCACGCCGTTGAATTGGTTTTTTTTTGCGTGACCCGAAATTGGCTCGCGTGCGTTTACATTTGATTTCATTGAGCGAAACGTAAAATCAAAATGTCACGGAGAACAAAACATGTAAATTGAGTTAGCTTCATACGCACGCCGTACAATTTCGGTTGGTCCCATTCAAGTTGTATGTACATGAGATATCTTTTTGTTATTTTAGGAGCTCTTCCGGCCGGTAGTTATAAAAAAGCAAAAACAAGTTTCCTTTTTTTCTCCTACGCGTTTCGGCGTTGTTTTTCGTCTTCTTCACGGAGCCTGTTTTTATTTATTTGGAATAGAAACATAAAAAACACAACCATTAGATACAATGTCACATATTCCAGTATGGAAACAATTAGTTATCATACACACATATACGAATACAATTCTTCAACGGTAACACTTACATCTCTACATTTACATCACATTCAGTGTGACGGCGGGCTTGTGAAAAATTGTAGCAGAAAAGAGACTTAAAATGTATCAATATGTATTACTTTTTTCATTTAAGTATCAAAGTATCAATATGGAATAAAACCAATAATTTTTATGAAAAACCATTTTCCAAAACAATTTAACATTTATTGAATGCAAACAGGTACACGTATCAGTTGTACTTGGTACTAGTATAATAATAATAACAAAAATGTCTTACATGTATGAGTTCAATTCAGTACTAGAATAATAATAACGAAAATGTCTTACATGTATCAGTTCAACTGGGTATTAGTATAATAAAAATAGCAAAAATGTCTTATATATAATCTTAATTTTAGTTTAAATACTTTTGTAATTATGGGACTCAGAATTCAAATTTTTTTAATAGTTTTTAAGGCATTTGGAAAACATTATGCATACCACCATTGGCAAAGTGAAGCGATTTGTTCTATTTGTTTTGATCAAATTCAGATCTGAGAAAATGCGCTCTGCAGCGGCAGAGCTGTGTGGAAAACATAACAAGTTAAAAATAAAAGAAGTTAGTTCGAAATATAAAAAGTTATTTAAAGCATCTTTTAGCTCGCTTACTCCCCCCCCCCCCAAAAAAAACTGTTCTATGTCTTCAACGCAATCTATTTTATTATCGAATTTCAAAAGTTGCCATTGCATACAAATTTTTTCTCTGTCGCTTTCTTTATACAAGTTAGGGAAATTGCTTAAAACATTTAAAAATGTCGAATTAGCACTTTCTTTATATGATAATGGATCAAAACATGCAAAGCTTTTCAAAATTTCACTGTTAAAATCAAATCTCTTTTTTATTTGCAAGCAAAGTTCAATATAACATAGCAATGTATTCAGCAGAATATTTTTTTTTTATTGTTAAAATTTGTACTTCACTTAAATGTGCTGTTGATATATATGTCTCTGCGGCACAAGTAATATATACTTCCTTAATAGGTAAATGATTATCTGGGTTACAAACGTCTATATCAGCTGGGTTACTTGGCATACAGTTTGGTTTGACAAAAAAACTTATATTGAGTTTATAGTTACTTTCAAAATTGTTATATAATTTGTGCAATCTGTATGTTCGCCCAACTCAGCAGCACGAANATTACTGGGCCTTGCAAAGGATGGATCAATGCTTCGAGAAGCAAACAAATTTACTAGGAAAGAAAGTTGCATCAATTTTTATTTTTTCCAATTTCAATTTTTTATTTTTTATAATTTTTTGTATTTCACATGGCACGCTTTGATTTAGAAGAACAAATTCAGAACAGTTTTTGACACTTTCGATACCAGAAGCAACAACAAAATACACGCAAATGTTGTTTTTGCTCTACTTATACTACCTGTTTAATGTGCCTTGGTTCACACCGTCATCGAAACAAGATATGAAGAATAACTGCAACGCGCTCCACTGGGACAGTAAACGATCAACAACTTGCTTCAGTGATAACCAGCGAACGTTGGACACTCGAAAAATTTTATGATTTTTAACACCAACGTAGTTTTGAAACTCGGAAAATTCATCCACCCTTTTAGCAATATGCCCGAAGAAATTCGAGTCGGGGAAGCTCTTTGCGGGTAAATCCGGCATGTGGTGCAGCAACACAAACATAATTAAATTCAATTCTGCACTTTTTACCTGTTCTTGTAGGATGTTATCTTTGGCTGTAGCCATCGCCTGATCGATATGGGTCTGGTTCCTCTTAGTAGCGTAGTTTTTTCTATGGAGGGGGCTCGTCTCGTGCCGCTTTATATGCGTTATTATGTTGAATAAGGATTTGTTGCATATGGCACAAAAGGCTTTTTCATCCTTCTCAGAAATCCAGACGAACATTTCCAACCACTGTGAACGAAACTTACGCCGATATTGAGCACGAGATGACGACGGCTCCACATATCTATGAACACACAAAACGAATTTGACAAAATAAGAAAAAATTAGCAATAATACAGAAACTTACTCATCTTCAGACCCAGATGACAGCAATGAGCTCGCCCCTTGTTCAGCAGTCCTGTTTGGTGGTATTCCTGTCACAAATCTATCCATGTTTGCACGTGGTGGCTTATGGCGGTGTCTGCAGCAGGATTTTCACGTGTTCCTTTAAGACAAAATGTTAATTATACACCAAAACATATACACAAATAGTAAAAATAATAACAATATGCAAATTTTAACAGTATATTCTATTAAAAATTGTTTAATACTTACTCGATTTTACTGGCTACAATTCTTGTGCCGGGCTGGTTCGTCCATTACGCTCAAAAGTAGAAAGGAAAAAGGAAGGAAATGTCTGCGGTTGACAGTAGTGACAACTTCACATTCCCAATACTTGAAAGGTTCGTTCAGCGAACGACAATGAACTTTTGGATGTATGTTACCACAGGTGCACGACATGTTTTGAAATGCATACAAATTTACAAATTTTTTTTATTTTTTATTTGGAAAAGTATCAAAATTGAAAAAAAGTATCTCTCCAAAATTCGTCGAAAAATGTATCACTTTTGATCCACTTGGATCAAAACGGTCACACTGATCACATTTGACACAATCGCCCCTATTCCGATTGTCGGAACGACAGTCGTTCGTCGATATTTGAGATTTTCATTGAGGTTATGAGGCAACCAATGACATAATCTACAACAAATTTGTATTCCTATTATCCTTTCGAAATGAAGAAGTATTGAAAACGTGTTAAAATCTGTCGTTAATGTTTTTTATTTACGACATAATTCAACGAACGACTGTCGATACGAACGACTTGCGACAACCATAATAGGGGTGAATAATTATTTTTACATATTTTACTTTGACATCACTAATTAACAACTATAAATAAAAATATCACAGCCTAATGTTTGTTATCGCTCATCTGCTCGTCAAATGTGTCCAATTGCTGCCCGATATGCGCAATTTATGTTATCCACGTCTTCTTTGAAGGTCATCGCGTCCTGTATTCTTTGTTGTATTCGCAGAACTTCTAATGTTAATCTTGTCCTCTCCCTCCTTTCTACGTCTAATATTTTGGTGTTTTCGAAGTCTGCTGCGTGTCTGCTAATTATTAAGTGTTGGGCTAGTGCTGTTGTTGTCTTTTTGTGCTTTGCGTCAGCTGTTTTAAAACTACCGGCCGAAAGAGCTCCTAAAATAACAAAACGATAATTTGAAAACTGGCCCGAAAAATAAATACATGAGATATTTTTGACAGTAAATTGGCGGCGTGCGTGAATATTAGGTTAGCCTGTAAACCAATAATACATAGAGGGAATACGGCAAAGATAGAAGGAGAAAAAACATCATCTAACTTATTTTCTATTCTGGCATAAATTATAACTAACAGTTGGTACAATAGTAAGACATACATCAAATACATACTTAAGTATAATTGTTCTTATGTTCTAGTGCCGATAAGAGCATTAACCTCAGTTCCGCTGATCACTAATTCGGGCTCTTCGCCAGGCTTTAGCCGCACAAATATTCTCCAACGGATGGAAAACGCCGATGCCAATCGTTTATTTCGCCTTAACTCTGATGCATATGTCATTACTTCTCGTTGAGTTTTTGATCCGGTAATTTGCAGAGAAAAGTTTCACAATAATTGGGCAATTGCCTTTTATGCTTCGCAGACGAAAAACGTCACGTAAAGGTGGAGGTTTGTGCTGAGCTGCTTCACAAAAATTTGCAAATAATTCAGGCAAACACTCACCAGCTGCTTGGGGGATACCGTTAATTAAGATCCGTGGCGACTGCACTGCTTTCAAGAGCAGTGAGCTGAGCCTTGGTCGCAAGGCGTATCAATTACAAGCAGTAGCTTCTTCTTATGAGCACGGTTATTTCAAATTATCGCCTATTTTGCTTTGCTTAAGCCTGGTTTTCATTAGGTCATATTTGACGTCAAATGTTGTCAAAATAATGACTACGGGTTGTCATGATCAATGGCATCCAAATGAAAACGGCCCTCGCCGCTGATGTGACAGCATTCGAAAATCAAAATGTATTTGCCAACATGTTGGCAATTTTGATTTCGTTTGCCATGCGAACAGTTGATTCTAGCTACCATACGGACCGTTTAGCTACAAAAAAGACAAAAATGCAGTTCGATAGAACTTTTCACGCAGATTTCAACCATACCCAAATTATTTGGGGCGAGTAAAAAACAAAGAAAATATAACAGGTTAAACTTCAACTTTCCTATTTTTTATATGTTTAATATGTGGCCGTTCCATTAAAGTGGCTTCATTCATCATCTTTTAAGCCATATGTTGGAAAACACTCCGGAATTGAAAATAATCTTCTATCATCTTTAAAGCTTATTAAAAAGGATGCGCCAACTGACTTTTTAAAACGTGTCAACTTTAAGCTTGGGGTACCTAAAAACTCATTTGCCGGAAGTCTGGCCCGCTAACGTCACCGTGCGTCCTTTTCTTTTCTTTTCAAAGGAAAATAAATCCGTCAACTCAAACATAGCGGCTAAAAAATTTTCGCATATATTAAAAAATATATTTTCACAATGTATCTGGTATGAGGACCAAAGCAGAGATAGTTCATCGATTAAGCTCTCACCTCGATTATGACGTCTTTGTAATTATCGAAAGTTGGTTAACTAGCAACTTCTTCATTTCCGAGTTCTTCGATGCAAACCTATATAGTGTTCTCCGGAAAGATAGAGAGGAAATCAAAACTGGGTGTTCCAGAGGCGGCGGCGTGTTAATTGCTGTACAGCGGAAATTCAGCTCATCTTTAGTTCAGCTACTTACCTTATACGAGCCGATTAAAACTCCACTTAATACGAGCCGATTAAAACTTATTAATATTCCTACACTTTCCAGCCGCAGGCAAATGCTTGGTAAAATTTTTATAGTTAAACTACTAACAGGCTCAATTTCAAGTCCGCTTCTTCTTGGCGAAGTTAGCCTTAATGTTCCCTCCCGGGTATCAAGACACTTTTGCCCCCTATTTCCGAAAGCTTGTAAAACTAATTTTGAATTGCACGACCCACTCCGTTGCTTATGCCAGGATTTTAACTCTCATTCCAGCACGTTTGATATATCAGATCCGCTTTTCAGCATTAAGAAATCGATACTGTCCTCTCTCAATAAATGAATCATTAAAATAAAGACATAAAATCGGCTGATGAATTTAGTTCTGTAGCTGAACAGTTTTAGATCTCGACACTTAACAAACTCCTGCCTATCGTGACTCGGCGCAAAAATTGAAAATACTGGTTCCGTACGTCATGCGGACTGCGCCCCTCGTGCGGATGGGCGGGAATGGAGGGTAAAAACCGTTGGGATATTATTAATTCCGATTCCCTCCTCGATCTTCTTTGCGTTACTGTGCGGGGCTCTTTCGGCCAACTGTTCGAGTGTGCGTCATATATCCCTCCCAACAGTATTGACGAGATTTATAAATGTCACATTAATAATTTAGTTTATCTAAGCTCTGAAGTTAAAAATCACCATATGTGTGTCCTTGGCGATTTTAATCTTAATAATACTTCTTGGAGTAACTTAAGTAGTTCATCAGTGTTAACGCCAGTTAATGTGTGCAATGTCAATGATACTTATGTTACTGATAGTCTCTTAGGTATTGGCCTTTCCCAAATTAATCATTATTTTAACGACTTTAATCGACTTTTAGACCTAATTTATTTAAGTGACAACTTAAATCATCAGCTGGAGGTATGTGATTCACCAATTTCTCCGCGGAATGCCCACCATATTCCTTTAGTAATTAAATACACTCCAATTCTACGAATTCTTTTCTCCATCGCCTAGTACTTTGCAACCAATTTTTAACTATAATCTATGCAACTTTAATAAACTTAACTCACAATTGCTAAGAATCGATTGGAACACGCTCTTTACTAAAATGGATACCACCAACACCTTCACCATATTTAAATCTCGTGTTTTTGATCTCTGCGTGGATGTGGGGAACATTCACTAGGAAACCCTATAAATTACCATGGCACACAAAAGAGTTGAAACCTCTGAAAAATCTGAAGAGTAAAAAAGTTCAAAAAATCCGGGCACACTTTGTACCTTGAATGTTATCAGCGTTACCGTAAGAGTTTCAACGCCCTCGATAAGCGTCTACATGATAGGTACTTTAAAAACTATAAATCCAACATCAAAAATAACCCAACAGTTTTTTGGAGTTATATAAAATCTAAAAAAATCAAGTTCTGGCATACCTTCCTCCGTCTTCTACAGCGATAAACATGCGACCACTCTTGTTGATGCTGCTAATCTTTTTTCTGAGTTTTTTTGTGCCAATTTTATGTCCGATTCTGATCTACCTTTCGATGATTGTTTCCTTTCCGACTCGTCACTGTCTTTTAGTTCGCTTTTTGTAACCAAAGAAGACGTTAGTAGAGGCATAGAATCGCTAAAATCCTCCAAACAAATGGACGCGGATGGACTTTCGGCGATTATTTTTAAAAAGTGCTCATCCCTGATTGAGCCGCTAACGCTTATTTTTAATAAGTCCTTAACATCCGCCGTTTTTATAGACGACTGGAAAGAGCATCTATAACCCCAATTTATAAAAGCGGTAGCAAGAGTGACGTAAGTAATTATAGACCTATCTCGAAATTATCCACGGTCACTAAAATTTTCGAGACTGTTGTTAAAGTCAAACTCTCATTCGCAATTAGTGGTCTTATCTGCTGTAACCAACACGGATTTGTCAAAGGTAGATCAACAGTAACAAACCTTGCTGTTTTTACTGAAGACTGCTTCGCTGCCTTTCGTGAAGGGAATCAAGAAGATTGTGTTTACACAGATTTTTCGAAAGCCTTCGACAGAGTTTCACATACAGTGTTAGCTTCCAAACTTTCGGCTTTAGGTTTCCATGCAACTTTTCTTTAATGGATTAAGTCCTATCTGAGTAATAGACTTTGTGTGGTTACCTTAGATAATGTCTCCTCCCGACCTTTTGTTGCACCTTCAGGTANTCAAACTCTCATTCGCAATTAGTGGTCTTATCTGCTGTAACCAACACGGATTTGTCAAAGGTAGATCAACAGTAACAAACCTTGCTGTTTTTACTGAAGACTGCTTCGCTGCCTTTCGTGAAGGGAATCAAGAAGATTGTGTTTACACAGATTTTTCGAAAGCCTTCGACAGAGTTTCACATACAGTGTTAGCTTCCAAACTTTCGGCTTTAGGTTTCCATGCAACTTTTCTTTAATGGATTAAGTCCTATCTGAGTAATAGACTTTGTGTGGTTACCTTAGATAATGTCTCCTCCCGACCTTTTGTTGCACCTTCAGGTATGCCCCAGGGCAGCATCCTAGGACCTTTGTTATTTACGTTATTTATTAACGACATCGGCTCTCGTTTCGCAACTTCTAAATTTCTGCTATATGCAGACGACCTTAAGATTTACTCAATAATAAAAAACTTGCAAGACGCCTTTGTTCTTCGGTCGGAACTCGATAATCTTGTGTATTGGTGCGCTCGCTATCGTCTTAACTTGAATGTAAATAAATGTTATTACTCTTCCTTTACGGGAAAGCAAACTCCTATCTCAACGTGGTATCATATCTCTGGGGTCTCCCTCAAATATGTTGCTGAAGTTAAGGACTTGGGTGTATACTTCGATACGAAACTCAGCTTCTCAACCCATATTAATTATATTGTTTCGAAATCATATNGGGCTGAAAGCCGATTAGGTCGAGTTGACGGATGAGTAACGAGTGACATATGTTACCTACCATGCCTTCGCACAAGGTCGCGACGAACCTTTCGTGGACCTACGGGTACGCTTGTTGGGTTGCACACACTAGCTCGTCGGTGTTGGGGTGGGTTGTTTCATCCACAGATCAGTCGCGAGACAACAGAAAAAAAAATATCGNACCATGCCTTCGCACAAGGCCGCGACGAACCTTTCGTGGACCTACGGGTACGCTTGTTGGGTTGCACACACTAGCTCGTCGGTGTTGGGGTGGGTTGTTTCATCCACAGATCAGTCGCGAGACAACAGAAAAAAAAATATCATACCCCCTCGTACAAGACATCATCAATGTGCCTAACCACCTTCACTGAATTTTGACAGGCCTCAATAAGCAATTTCAACTCTCGTCACTACTCCCCTCCGTTTAATCCCCGGTCGGTCCCCCACCCCCACTGTCCAACTTCTGGTTCGCCTCCATGCTTGAGGCCGGCCAATCCATCCCTCCTCAACCTTTGCTAACCGCGGCCTGGTGGGGTTAGCCCCTAACTGAAAGCACCCCGACTTAACTTATTTATTCCCCAGAACTAATCCTTTCTCCCCCCATGATCCCGTCCGTCCGTCCGAAGTCCCACGAAGTTCATTCACCACACACTATTTATGATTTAACAATTCATTTCATTTTATTGGATAGGACTACATCTAAGTAAATTTACATTTCAAACTGGTGTTCAATCGGCAAACGTTACACGCACGGAACAAGCAAAGCTATTGGGCGTTCGTGACCCTCAACCAATATATAAGGGGATAAACCTGGTTACCTGCCACCTAAGACATCTTAACGTGGTATTTGGTAAGCTGCGACCAATGGTCTGCTCAACTCAAAACCTACAGCCCTTAGCTCCTCTTGCTCACTGCCCCTAACGTTACAATTTTGCCTAAAAAAAAATAAAAAATCTTAATACTATGTACAAATTCAGATAAAAAGAGTCAGTTGTTTAGCTGTTTAAGACTGAGTTACAAGGATCTTAAAACGCGTGGTTATGGTCGTTAAAAACTGCAACAATTGTGATTGCAACGCGAATCGTTCGCCGCACGTTTCACGCTCGCCCAAAAGGTTTGTCATAACTACTGCCCTATATGTGCATACGTACGTGTGCGGCGACTCTGATCGCCCTAGATGTTTGCCACGGTGTGACCAGAACCGTGAGGCCATGTTACTTCACACCGCGGACGGAGTACTCCTTCACTCTGGAGTCTCAACTGGCTGGATCCGCTGCTGCCAATTTTCGTCTGGGCAACCGATGGACGCCAATAAATGAATAATGTCGGGAACGCTTTGAAACAGGCGAGTGCTCGCCGCCGGCAGATTATAAATTGTCGATTTTCCTTTCACCGTGTAGTTGCTGCTTCAGACTTGACCGATCTCGACGCTGTTTTAATCCAAAAGAATTCTCTCAGCCGGATCTGTCAGCTTGGTTGCGG